CAATTGGATAAATTCTTTATATTCACTTCTACTCAGCTGAATGCATGAAAGGCAAAGAACAACTCTACACATATATCCCATCTTTTCTCTCCCATCCTCTACATTAACGATGTCAAACTTGATTTCATTGAGGGCCACATCAGGGTTGTGTTTGACCTCCGGGGGGGGGGGGGGGGGGGGGGGGCCGGGGGGGGGATGGCCAGCTTGACATCACTCATGTCGGGGGCACCTGTGGTGGTCCAAGCACTCTGCCAGCAAAAACGTGCTCCCGGGCTTCTTTTTTGGCTGCGATGGCCTCCTGCAACTCTTTGCCAGTGAAAATGGAGCTTGGGAGAGCTGCGGGTGGCCCTTTCAAGCTCCGTTTTCGCTGGCAGAGGCACCGTGGGCTGGTTTTTTATTGTCTCTAGGGTAGCCCTGCAGGCCAAATCTAAGCACCCCGCAGGCTGGATCTGGCTTGAGTTTTGACACCCCTGCTCTACACATTCAGTTGGAAGTCCAATTCAGAGTTGTACTCATGTTTGTTAGAATGTAAATAGAGCTCTATAATAAAAGCTGTCCAAGTTGTGCAATTATATTTACGTTCAAGCCATGTATGGACCCATTTTAAATCTGATAGCTGAATGGAAAATCAGGAGAACGAAGATAGTCCCATGTCTACTTTGAAGCCTTGGACACTTTCCACTGAATATCTATAGATGACATAGGGAATGGTCTTGAAGCACAAGAGGAAGAGTTGCTACCACAGCAACAGCAAGGTAAGTAGGTCTTGAATCTGTAACTGAGTAATAAGAAAGAATGTATCAAGCAAGCCCTTTCCTAGTTCACATGAAGATAAAGTGAGGAAGGAGGAAACACATCCAGATTTGGAGGCCTGTGGTTATAGATGTTACAATAAAAATAGTCCCAAGGGCACTTTTCCAAAAGGCAATTGGACTTTGTTTTCCCTTGGAGACATTTCTCTTCTCATCCAAGAAGCTTCTTCAGTTCTGAAGAAATCCAATGCCTTTTGAAAAAGTACCTCTGGGACAACTATGACCTGGATGACTGAGAATCTCCATAGACAATAAAAATAGTCCAAACCCATGTGGTATTGACAAATAGATGAGTGTATCTTTTCTTTTTATGTACACTGAGAACATATGCACCAAGACAAATTCCTTGTATGTCCAATCACACTTGGCCAATAAAGAAGGAAGGAAGGAAGGAAGGAAGGAAGGAAGGAAGGAAGGAAGGAAGGAAGGAAGGAAGGAAGGAAGAAAGAAAGAAAGAAAGAGAATTAGTGTCAGAGTCTGGTCTACTTTGCAGGGTTCCAGTTCTTCATTTTTTCAACCAAATATGTAGGATCTGATTGATGCCCTGATTTGCAATCTCTTTGCATCTTCATTTCTCCTAAATGCATGTATTTCTGTACTTATTTTTTCTAATATATCAAACTGTACAATGTTCCCTTTGTAATTTCATGATTACATGCCACTTCCATCAATATATAAATATTTGCCCATATTTTCCATAAATAATTATGGTTTCACACTCGCTGCTGATAAATAACATCACCATTTGTGTTTTGTGACTGTCAGCTTACTGTATGTTTTGTGCATTGGTTTAAAGAATGCACATTTTTTGTTAATTTTTGAATAAAATGAGAAGTTAACTGATTTCCCAACCATCCCTAGTTTAGTCAGATATAATTCATGAGTCATTAAAAGAACTGTTAAGCAATAGCAAAAAAAGTAATGGCAACCCACTATACTGGTTATTGCTTGATTCTTCTAGCTCAGCCAATGAGGTCCCCTAGCATACACTTCAGAAATCCCTTTACCAAAATTAATCCACATTTCTTATTAGCTATCACAAGCATTGTAAAATATATTGAGATAGTTATAAGAAAAAATCCAACACATCTAGTTAACTTAAAAATTTAAAAACCAAACAAGCTTTCAACAGTTTTTGAAATTTCTTTATCAACTAAAATATCAGAAAAATTATGTTATGAGAGAATAAAAATACACTGAACTACACTGAGTTTAGCTCAAACGTGTGCAGTGTGAGATCCAAGTTACATGCAACTCTTGAATTCCTTGGATATAGTTTAAAGAGAACTTGAGAAGTTACTATTAAGTTGTCATTTGCATACACCAGGGAAAACACTACATATATGACTGGATATTAATCTTATTAACTATTTTATTTTAATTAAACTGAAATGTAAGATACAGAAAAACAATTTTAGTCTTTAATCTGGCTTCATTCATTACGTTTTGGAAAACCACCCTGGCATGTTACTCAAAGAAATACTGTTGGAGATGTAAGTATTTATATCATACTTTACCGGTCATTGGATACTTGGCTTATATCCAACCCTATTATTGTATTAAGTAGTAAGCAAAATAATGACTGCTTTCCTGTTCTCAGAAAAATATAAAATCTTCTTGTAACTTATTTTTCCACCATGAATTTTTAAGCATTCAATTAGCTATTCATTCCCAGGAACAGTTCTCTACCCCTCTGTGTACTTTTAAGTCTTATCTAGAAGATTTCGTAATGGCCTGCTACACCATACAGGCAAATTTAGTCACAAAGCTTGACTTAACTATTTTTTTTCCACCTAATGCTGAATGAAAGAAGCCCAAGGCTTTCTCCCAACACTGGAATTGTAAATGGGGAAGAGTGCGTACAATTCCTCAACCCCAAAGATGAATAAACACCAGAATACTTTTTCTTTAATTATACCTTTGTACAAGTGAAACACCTTGATTCTGAGGTGGCAATGAAATTCAATTACTATAAACACTGGGATTCACAACTCACATTGTTGTAATGTGGTTGGTTTTAGCTTAGTGAGTTGCCTGAAGGAAGAAAGCTGTTTGGAAAACTTGGAAATGGTCCATTTGGTGCAAGCAAAACAAAATAGAAGTTGGCTTCACTCAATACACAACTGCTAAACTTGCAACTTAACCTTATAAACATAATTATCCCCCAATATATATATTATGGCTTAACATGATGGATTGGCTCCCACGATGTATTAAGGCAATGACTGAATTCCCAAAACAGTAAACAGTGAATTACCAAACAATAGTTTAGCCCATTGTGTGAACAAATCTAGCATGTTATGTGAACCCAGCCTTTATGTCTTCAATATTCTTAACTACATCCAAGCTGCAGGGGGGCAGCAGAAGTATTCAGGGTTGTCCTTAATTTCCATTCTAACAGACAGAACCACATCCTGTTGAGCACAAAGAAAGGTATATTCAGCAATGTCACCCCAAATTTGTTGGATCCTAATGCAGGTAGTCTCCAACAACTAATTACTGTTCCTAGAAAACTATATGGATTCATATACCTTTTCTTTTAGAGCTCAAGGTGAGATACATGGTGCTTCTTCCTCAAACCCAAAGTCACCCTGTGAATTTCCTTTGCTAAGGCTGGATTTGAACCTGCAATGCCAATCAATACATTACCTCAACACAAAGGCATTATGACTTTATAAATTATAGGCAACATATTAGGCAGCCTTCACACTGATGACAATCTTTCAATATTTCTTCATGATATTAAAATCAGAAGGAAAACAAAACATCCAAAATGATGGTGTAAATTTAAAATTATTCCTTTTAATCTGAACTATACAAAATATATGTCCATCATAAATGGACAGCCATAAATAAATGCAACAGCCTGTCCAATTATGGCTCTGTCTTTCTAGTCTAATTATTTCATAGTCAAAAATATTTATTACAACACGCTGACTATTCGTGACAGATTTTCACAGGTGGCTTACTGTATAGGGTTCAGTCAAGTAAGGATAGGAAAGATAGTCTCATAGATACCAAGAACTAAGCCATGTAAAGCTTAAAAGTTGACCACCAGAGTCTTGAATTGGAGCAAGAAGCAAACTGATAACCAAACAAATTATGGATGTTAACACTGTTCAATCAGCTACCTTGCCACAAACATGATAGAAAGTATATATATGGAGATATGCTAATGGCAGATATCAAGTTGTCTATCTAAATATATGATCCAGGGTTTAAATTTTAAGACTTTTGCTTAGAGTTTTTTCAATCAGTGGAAATCTGGCCACTCTGAGGCTTGGAGGCACCTGATCAATGCTTACATAGCAGTTCTGTCTAGTCTGAGAACCAGTAATCCCTGCCATACCAGTTTTAGCTCTTACAGATTGGGAAAAACTTGTACCACAAATCTTGGACAACTTCTAACATTTAGCATTAACAGATGAGTTGGGTGGAACAATGGCTGCCTGGAGAGAAAGCAGCTTCCTAGGGTATAGTAGGAGAGGGACTGATAGCGAAGCTGAGGATGGAACTGGAAGACATAAATTAATTTCCAGCTGTTCAATTCATGCAAATGGCATTTGTTATCACTGCTTTTATGAGTAAAAATATTGATCATTTGAATTCTACCAGGAACTCAAGGGAAAATACACAGCATTACATCTTTCCATTTCCCTCCTCCCCAAATATCAACCATCTTATGACGTAGACTGAACTGAGAGACAGAAATTGCTCTAAAGTTACTCTTTTACCAAATAGTAATTTTTTTAATTGGGGCAGTATAAAAACCATTGGTAAATAAATACTCACCCACTGAACTTTTACACCTTAGAACTGACCAACACACTAACTTCTGAACCACATGGGTTGTATGTGATGATTAAAAGATGTCAGGCTGTCAAATCAGAATTTTTGTAATGTAACAGCCTTATGTTTACAAGGAGCACATTTTCCTCAACTAGCTCTCTTTCAGATGCATTGACACCGTCAATGCATCTGAAATGATTAGGCTGTCTAATCAACATAATTTGAAGTCCCAACATATCTGGAAGGTGCCTGGTTTAGTAAAGCTAGTATAAGGTAACAAAGACCCCAAACATTCCATATTTATTTATGTTCTACTATACATTTGAATCAAGGGTTCCACAATAAGAAAAATGGGTTTACAGTAATTAAAAAGATACAGGTAAACAACTCTAATCTCACCTTGCCATGGCTTCTCTCCACCTTTCGGAAACACTTATTCAGAGAAAGATTATGCCGGACGGAGTTCTTCCAGCCAGTGGGAGCCGTAGCAAAGTATGGGAAGCGTTCCAGAATCCAGCTGTAAATTTCTTTCACTGGGAGGCTTTTATTAGGCGAATGTTCAATTGCCATGTATATAAGAAGGCTAAAAGAATATGGGGGCTTAGATGTGGCAGATTTCTTCTTGGGATTAGAATAGCAGGAGGATGAATATGTTGGCACATTATCCCCCTCAATATCATACAGAGGACTAACAACTGGAAGACCTTCACTTCCCAGGCTGAAGTTCGTTAGGAGATTACTGTTTTCATGCAGCCAGTTCAAGTTGGTGAGCTCATCGTCCGCAACTTCACTATCCACAGCTGTGGCCTTTGGTCGAGCAGCATCACCTGCCTCCGGCAAGCTTCCCATTCTTTGGATATGCCTTAGACCTGCTGCTTTCTCTACTGGTGTTTCAGCTTTCTTATCCGGAGTCATTCCTGTTACTGGACCCATTTAATCTTGTAGGCCTAGGCATAAAAATAAAACCCTAAGCATTAAAAGGTAGATTGTTAGTGGCCCTATATTTAGTTTGATCATTGGATCATCTAGTTCAGTATTATCTAGATTTTCTGTTTTAACAAATCTTCATCTATATTTTCACAAAAGACTTGACAAAAATGTAATAGACACTTCTTGTTTACCTATTGCTTTGCTTAGCAATTTTTTCCAGTTATAAAGATGATGAAAAAGCATCTTTGTGACAAACCCTGCATTTACAGCTTTCATAGGTCTGTAAAGCAAATGAAAGTTTGTTTGTTTATTTATTTATTTATAAAATTTAATATAACTGCCCACTTGCTCACAGCAATTCTTGGCGGCTTACAAACAGTAAAACCAAAATATATTAAAAAAATAAAAAAATAATACACCCCGCCCCCCGCCATTCAAGTTGAAGTAAGATCATCAGCACACAGTCACAGTTTCACTTAGTGATCACTTTGTTTAATGTCTGAGTTGCCAATCCCGACTGTGATCACTAAATGAAGACTAATTGTAATTGTATTAATGGTGAAGTAGGGGTTTATTTAGTTTTGAATTTGTAAGAGATAGTCAGGATTCCTGGCTTTCAAAAAATGCATTTCACAGCAAAAATACCTCACATCTTCACAAGAGCGTGGGCTGCTGCTTCTCTGCATTATTTCTGCAAACACCATGCAGCCACATAAATATTTCTATTATTTATTAAATTTATATGCCACCAAATCCCACTAACAAAGCGATAAAATGACCAATATTGATTCTTCACTTGGCCATTCTAGAAAAGACAGCAAAGGAAAAATCTCTACAAAGTTTTCCATTCCTTAGTGCTCAGAGGATATTATTGCCACAAAAAGAAAATCAAGAGCTCATAGCACCCTCAAAGCAAAAGTTCAAAATGGCAAAATATGCTTATTCTGGTGATTATGATTATAACATTTACTATCCTAACAGCTTGAACATTCAAAGCAGACAAGCTAATTACTCCAGCAACTAGTATAAACTTGCAAGGTAGATCAGGATTATTAAAACATCCATAATCTAGTCCAAAATCCACACAGGCAACACTTTTATTTAGTTAGCAATGTTTACAAACTATTTGCAAACTTTTAAATTTCCAGAAATTTATCTTTATCTTAGACAAGATAGGGAAAAAAAATCCCTATTGTATAATGCCAACCAAAATCCAGTTAATGCAAGGCTAGCACACCCACAATTGAGGGTAGCACATCTGCGATTGTCACTGAGGTTTTTAGAGGGCAGAATGGCACAATTTGCCATGGCCAACTCGCGGTGAGACAACTTGCCATCCGACAGTTTAACAAATACAAAAGCTAAATTAATTTTCACAGAACCTTGGCCAATAATAATAAAATAAAGTCAAATACAAGCACTACAATAATTTTGGTGAAAACATGGTCACCAGTAATAAAAATAACTGAATGAAATGATTAATACAGGATTGAATTGTTCCATGGCGGATTGTCTCATGAGTTGGACATGATGAGTTATCTCAGATCCCTTAGAGCAGAAGTTCCCAACCCAGGTCCATGGGAACTGGGCCACACAAGCAGTGGGTGAGTGTGCAAAGCTCCGTTTGACAACTGCCAATCTGCAGAGCTAGAAAGATTGGGAACCACTGTTTTAGAGTATAATCATTGTTTGAGCAAAATGGAGAAAAGGAAGATTCTGTTGGAGAACGCTCAGAAAAGATGAGCTTTATTTTGAAGAACTACAGCAGAATATTGGAAAAATGGGTTTATTGTCCAGCATGTCCTTTGTTTGCTTGATGTGTTTATTTTAAATATTTATGAGATCTATAATCCATTAGAAAGCAATAAAAATGCTAAAACCACACCAAAAAATGACTGAAAGATATTAGTAACAATGTCGCTCTGACTTCCTGCGTTATATGTTAAAGATGTTTTTGTCAGTCTAGACTTATCTTTAGAAATTATATTTAGAGGTTTTTTTGTTTTATTTTGTTTTCTATAACTACTCTGTGACCTTGCAAAAATATACTTAAGTTGTAAATATATATATATTTGATTTTTTTTTATATTTCATTCATAAACATATAAAAATTATGTTTAAATTTTTTCATTGCCTATTTTCTTTGAACTGGGACCTATTATCTTATTTTCCATAGAAATATCAGTCTGACTTGTGCAAATTCAAATAATACAAGCATTTCATGAGATTCATTATCAGTACTAATTGACACCTACCTGTATACAGTTTATGTATTAAACTCCATAATGTATTTAGGATGCTAGTTTAGTTAGCCTTTTATAAGGCAAAGGTTCCCCTCGCACATATGTGCTAGTTGTTTCCAGCTCTAGGGGACGGTGCTCATCTCAGTCAACTGCAGATAAAAAGAAACTTCCCCTATCTTTCCAACTGTTAATAATTCTTACAACAATTACAAGCTATTAGTCTAATAATATTAAAACTGGAGGAATCTCCTAAGCTAACCCTTTGGAATTAGCTGCAATTTCCCAAAAGGCACAGGTGGGTGACATCACAAAAACGTATTATGCACTCCTCTGATTTTGAGAAATCAGAAATACAACCAATGTAAGTTAAGATGACCTATCATTTTCATCTCAGAGTTAATGTTCAGCTTTCACTGGCCACATGCTTCCATTTAGAGCACTGAAGACAGATCCACATCATATTTAATACAACAGGGAGTCATTTAAAGAACTATTGGTTGGCTTGATGGAAATGTACCATCACAATACATTCTCAACAAAAAATACTAAGTGCAGGGTATGAAGTGAAAAAAAATTGGCCATGGAAAGTGTTAACTGGCTTACGCATGAAAATACTAATAGACTAGCAGTACATGATATTGCTACTACTCACCTGCACTGTGGTTTGGCAGTATATCTGCTTCTATTTCAAAATAAAGGTCTTAAAAGATAATGCTTATGATCATATTAAACTACCAAGAAACAACAATAAATGTAGTAAATCTATCAATAACTAAATGCTGCATAACTGAGACGATGGCTAGTCACAATTTACACACCATGTTTACACAATTTCACTATGTTCAGTGCTCACCACTTTGATGTCCGCACTTTAGGTATGCTTTGCTGTCAAAATCTGACTTGCCAACAGTGAAAGGAAACATCTTCTATAGCCAGTATACACGAAGCTGCGGGAGTCCTTGGTGTTCTCTGAGCTTGGTTTTTTGCTACAGACATTTCATTATTCAAACAGGTAACATCACTGGTGCCTGTTGCACTGATCAGTGAATTAATATTACCCATATGGTAATGAAATTTCTGCAAGCAAACAACCAAACTCAGAGATCACCAAGGACTCCACAACTCAATCCTGAGATACATATATTCTGGTCTATTGGATGCACCAAGCTCTTAAAAAATAGAAGGCCTTCCAGAAAGATGGTTGGATCACAAGTAAATGTAATGCACAATGTTTTTAGTGACATTAAAGTGTGAACTGAAAAAGTCTAATAAACATCAAGTTTTTTGCTAAACAAGCTCAGTATTGTTTGGACCCAGTCAAAGATGCCTCCATTTGAATGTAAGAAATTATTTTTTCTATATCAGAACACATTTCCCAATGGGAAAGATAAACTCTGTAATACACAGTTTTTCTCTAAATTAAAACACCAAAAAACCTTTACCACAAATGTATTAAACTTGTAGCTTACAGCAGAGCAACACCTTGCTTGCTGGTTAGCTGTAACCCACCTTGATTAAATTCTGCATCAAAGTAATTTGGTAAGCTGTAAAGCAGCGGAATTTATATTCTTCCTCTACATAAAAGAAATACTGTCTTCATTTCACAGTAGGAACCTAGAGCACATCAGTGTGAATCAAACAGAGTTATGACATCTAATCAAGTGCAGGTTTCTATAGCAATGGCACCGTGATTTCTTCAAACCTAACTGGCAGCTGATTTGTGGCAAAATACACCATACTTTACATATGTGAACATCCACAGAAGAAAAAGCATTCTGGGAGGTTGCTGTTTTTACCACCCTGTCTCTCTCCCACGTACTGAGCTGAGAGAGGGCTGATTTTCTCACAATTCACAATAATGAAGGGATTTTAATTCTAGCTACCTAGTAATGTTTCTCTCTAACTGCAATGTTATTCTTTGCCACAGAGAGCTGATAAAGCCACCTAGCTTCAAACAGCTTGGAAGGAATAATATTAGCCAAAGAGTGTTCTTTTTCACAACTTCTATTTACTGTCTCAAATAAAAAAAAAATTGCCATGCAATATAAATCCAGCTGTTGCTGTTTTACAGTATTATTATTTTGTACATTATTTTTCAAAGTACTGATTTTACATAGATTTCAGAAACATTTCCACCTACACAACAGATATGATAAAGTATATAATTTCAAATTTCTAAACAGTTAATATGCATTCCTGTCTTCCAATCCCTTAAGTTTCTTTGTTAGTCATGATGTCTGTACTAATCAAGTAATAGTAGACCATACTGTGAATAGACTGGCAAACCTATTTAGTGTTAACTCTTGAGCCAGGTATGCAAAAAACTGAAAGTACAAAAGAACAAGTCCCAGAACTTGTTCAAAAAATATCTTCAATTTTAGCAGATATAAAACTAAAACTAAACAAAATGAAATTCAGGTTGTGTCCTGCTCACCTATTCGGTCTGTCCTTTCTCCTTCTGCAGAATTTCAGCCCAACACACAGAAGTTTAAAGCTTCTGCCAAATCAAAATGGCACATCTCTGCACTACGCTATGATTTTGAAGCTACCATAGCTTCAAAGTATAATCCAAGTTAGCCCTAACAACAGTGTATTCACGATGCCAAATTAGAAAATAAGCAAACTGAACAAAGAGAAACAGATTGCTAGGGGAAGGTTAGAGAAAGCCTGTGAACTAGGATACACTCCCCATCTTATCAGAGAACACAAAAAGACATTTGATCAGGTCAGAATATCTGTCCAGCCTAGTCCAGTTTTCTCCAATTAAGAATCCT